CGTTTGATCGGCGCGCACGAGTTGGTTTGACGTGCACGTGTTTGACTGACGCGCACGCGTTGATTGACGTGCGTGCGTTGACTGGCACGCACGAGTTGATTAACTTGCGCGCGTTGACCGGCGCACACGAGCTGATTGACGTGCGCGCATTGACTGGCGCGCACGAGTTGATTAACGTGCACGCGTTTGACCGACGCGCACGAGTTGGTTTGACGAATCTTCTTGACTCGCCCATTCATTGCTTCGAGTTTCGTGCGGGCTCTCGTAGACAATTTTAGACGCCTACACTCTTGAGCTGTATTTGGATATCTTTCAGCATTTTTTGACGCCTACAGACAGTGATCCGAAAGTGGATGAAGTCATCTTTGCTGATGCACCTCCTAATAGCAATAACGCTAGAGGTGGTTTAACGCATCCTCCCAATAATGATATTGGGGGTGGTTCAATGGCACCTCTTACAGGGGGTGGTCTAATTCATTCTCCTCAACGTCTTTCGAATGAAGACATAAACGATAACGGTAAAATGAAAGAGCTTGAAAACAAAGTCAACGCTTTGATGACGGCTCAAGAAGTGAAAAAGACGGGTATTCTATGTCCCTATCCAAGAGAATGTGATTCAATACTGTACCCGGCAAAATTCAATCTGATTAACTTCACACCGTTTGACGGGAAAAGCTCGCCTACTCAGCACTTGATTTATTTCAAGTCTCATGTAGGCATGATTTCTGGAAACGAGGCTTTAATGGTCCGGTCATTCATTGGCACCCTTCGTGGGCCCGCCTTCGAGTGGTATCGACGTCTCAAGCCAGGGAGCATCAATTGCTGGGATGATATGGAAAGTTTATTCCTCAGCAATTTCTTCGATGATGATATCGAAGTGTCAATCGGAACCCTTCTAGATGAGAAGCAAAAAGACGGAGAGTCAGTCGACAACTTTGTCAAGCGCTTCCGTAACAAAGCAATGAATTGCAGAGATCCTGTTACAGAGGAGTTCATCCTGCAAACATGCCATAATAATCTCTCCATCGATGTCCTGGAAGCTCTGTGGGTCGTACCATCCAAAACTTGGAAAGGGTTAAAACTACGTGGCGAACAAGCTGAACACTTTCTTAAAAGAAAGAAAGCTGTGAGAAGCCGACCGATGACATCTGCAATCACTGGGAACGCGACTCCCGATCCGAGGTTTCAAAAGGAGTATTCTTTCGAAGATGATGAAGCTCCAGCCATCTTGAAATACCTCCTCGCCAATGACAAAATCGAGCTACCACCTATTAAAGATCAGGAGGGAGCTAAGAGAATTACGGATCCAAACTACTGTGCATACCACAGAAGGGTTCTTCATCCCACTAAGGTTTGTTTTGGACTCAAAAACAAAATCCAAGCCTTAATTGACTCCGGCGTCATAACGGCGAAACAAGCCAAATAAAGACGTCTCAAACTCCATTGGGTGCACGAGTATAAACTGTTTCCCCTCACTCCAAAGAGTATACGAGTATAAACTGCTCCTCGATACTCCAATAGGTATATGAGTCTAAACTGTTTCCCACTCTTGACGGGAAGTTCCTGGAGAATTTTTACATGTAATATTCTTAAGGATAACCAGGTCATGTAACTCAGTATGATGTTAGACCCAGTTTCACGAAGGAAGCTGGGGGTGGATGGTTTATGTAATGGGAAGTTCTCGGAAGAATGCTATATGTAATTTTCTTAGGGATAACCCGATCATTACAAACAAAGTGATAAAACACTACATCCCCACGGTGATTTTCGAATACTCTTTTGCTGAGATAAGATTCGATCACTTCTTTAGATCAATCTTCCCTCACAAAACTCATATTTGGTCAAACCTTTAAACAGTTAGAACCAAAACCAAAATCCCCTCTCGATTCCTTCCATGAACAAGAGGTCTACAAATTGAACGGTCAAACCTTTAAACAGTTAGGATCGTATCAAACTCCCATATGGTCAAACCTTTAAACAGTTAGGACCAAAACCAAAATTCCCTCTTGATTCCTTCCATGAACGAGAGGTCTACAAATTGAACGGTCAAACCTTTAAACAACTAGGATCGTATCAAACTCCCATATGGTCAAACCTAACGATCAAACCTTTAAACAGTTAGGATCGTATCAAACTCCCATATGGTCAAACCTTTAAACAGTTAGGGCCAAAACCAAAATCCCCTCTTGATTCCTTCCATGAACGAGAGGTCCACTCAAATTGAATGATCAAACCTTTAAACAGTTAGGATCGTATCAAACTCCCATATGGTCAAACCTTTAAACAGTTAGGACTAAAACCAAAATCCCCTCTTGATTCCTTCCATGAACGAGAGGTCTACAAATTGAACGGTCAAACCTTTAAACAGTTAGGATCGTATCAAACTCCCATATGGTCAAACCTTTAAACAGTTAGGACCAAAACCAAAATCCCCTCTTGATTCCTTCCATGAATGAGAGGTCCACTCAAATTGAACGATCAAACCTTTAAACAGTTAGGATCGTATCAAACTCCCACTTGGTCAAACCTTACTACAGTAAGGACCACAATCAAGATTCCCTTTCGATTCATTTCACGAACGAGAGGTCTATTTTTGAATTGAATAATCAAACCTTATGACAGTCAGGATTATTCAAACCAGTCCAGATTCTCTAAGTGAAGATCCCACTTTGAGTTTCTTTTGCACCAGGAGATAGAATATAAAATTATTCCTCTCCGATTTCGGGTTCATCTCTACCAACAAACAAGAGACCAGGAGATAGAATATAAAATTATTCCTCTCCGATTTCGGGTTCATCTCTACCAACAAACAAGAGACCAGGAAATAGAATATAAAATTCATCCACTCCTGGATCGGGTTCATCTCTACCAACAAAAAAGAGACCAGGAGATAGAATATAAAATTCTTCCTCTCCTGGGTCGAGTTCATCTCTACCAACAAAAAAGAGACCAGGAGATAGAATATAAAATTCTTCCTCTCCATCATCGAGTTCATCTCTACCAACAAAAAAGAGACCAGGATACTCCAATAGGTACATGAGTTTAAACTGTTTCCTGACCCTCAACAGGAAGTTTCTAGAGAATATCACTCAGAATATTCTTAAGGATAACCTGACAACCTCCTAACGGGTATACGAGTATCAATTTGGTGACAAAAGCTGAACTCACAAGTATAAATTCCAGGTTTAACTCAAGATCTCGACAACGGTCAAGCGATAAACGTAGTACCGGAAGAATCTTAACTATTCTACAAAGCACTGGATAGATTGAGAGATAAAGAGGTCAAGAGTTGAACTCATTTACGATCCACTCAACCAAGTATTGAAGGGATTGTGAGTCACGCATGTCTTATCCAAAGTGTCTCAGACTCCTCTCCAAAAAAAATGATGAGTCTGAGATACTTTGGAGGGGGTATCTATAGGCGTCAAAAAATGCTTATAGACATCCAAATACCACTCAAGGCAAAGAGAAGACGATAAACGTCATTCTCTTAATCAGAGGGGATCGTTCAAAGAAAGCAAGACAACATGGAAGAACATGTACACACAGACAGACAACACTTGGTGCCGTGGCTCAGCCGCGGCAGTTCATGATGTCGCGGCCATGGCGCGGCAGTATATAGTGCCGCGGCTAAGGCGCGACAGCATACAGTGCCGCGGCTAAGGCGCGACAGCACATAGTGCCGCGGCTAACGGCTATTATAGGGGGTGCTATGGTGGTTACAAGGCAGTTATATGATGATTATTTGAAGCCCACGTGGTGGCATATCAGAGATAAAACGTGTGCTGATGTGTACAAGCAGTTAAACCATAAAAAAGGTGGTTAAAGGTCGTGGGAGAACGGTTTCAAGCATGATGAAACATGCTGGTAACTGCCTCTTTGGCCGCGGCAGTCCACACTGCCGCGCCAATAGCCGCGGCAGTGTCGACTGCAGCAGCCAAAGAACAGTCATCTGGTTGGTTATTTCGCCCCCGTTTTAACTGTTGTGCATCCATACCCCTATAAATACCTCCCTAAACACGAAATAAAGGGGGGGAGAGCATTGGAGGGGCAGATTGGAGCAGAAAAAGGCTTGAGCTTTTGGTGAATTGGAGGAAGAAAGAGAGAATTTTCATCCTTTGACAAGTATCATTTGGTGATTCCTAGAGATCTAAGCTCAGACTTGATCTTTGGAAGAGTGAGTATCTTACATCGATAAGATACTCGCTTTAAATTCTTACTTTGATAAACGAAGGAAGAATTCCCAAAACCTTCACGATTCAATCAGAATCTGTGAATCAGTGGTCCACGGGCTAATGCACCCCGGCACAGGCAAAGATCCCACGCAAGCAGCGATCCAAACAACGATCATGCGTTTGTTTCTAAAAAGTTATAATTTTTCTTTTGTTGTGTAAAAGAAGTCTTATAAAAAGGCTATCTCTTTTGAATTTATTGTAATCGACCGAAGATATAATGAATTCCACAACGAGACCAACTTTTGACGCAAACAGACTCTTGTAGTTTCTTAATATGCATCACGTGCAACGCACATATTGTATACTAGTAGAAAAAAAAACGAACGTTGCCTTATAACATATTATCACAATACACGAAACCATCTGAGGAATCAATATTGCTACAAAACAAATATATTCATAGAATCCAACTTGAGATGTTTTTGTAAATATCCATTTTATCTTGAATTTATAATTTTTCTTTTTTGAAGTAAGAACATTATAATCATTCAAGAGCTTAAGTAAGCACAATTATTTAATGCAAGATATGGCATTAGTTTTCAGGTAAATTTCACATTCCCCAAAAGTTTGGCCAAATTTTGAGATGTAAAAAAAATTGAAAATATCACATGACACGGAAAAGTTATGTCATATAACCCCTAATTTAACACAACATTCTTGATTCTTCTATATGTGAAAATTTAAGAACTTTTCATCGATGTGTGAAAACATGTCAAACTTTTATAGGGTTTATGTTAGATTTACCTTAGTTTTTTTACTTGTCCGCCAATTAATAAAAAGCCTCTTGCATATATTTGAAATACAATAAAAAAACAAGTGCAAACAAACGGATAGCAAACGCTCACCAAACAGTTCACAGATCAAGCATACGCGTGTGCAGCTTCCCTCTTTCCTCCAACAGCAAAACTCCTGCTCCTCTCAAACCCAACATCCCCATCAAACTCACAAGTTAGATCCTCGTCAATCCTCTCCATCTTCAAACCTCTCCTACTTCTATTCACCGCCTCTTCTCTTCCCAATTCAAGGGAACGAACCCTTCTCATTTCCATTGCTCTAATTAACTGTTGAAGGAGCTCGTCGTCGCCTCTCGAGCTCGTTCTCGCGCTCGACCCAAATCTATTGCTGCGCGCAACACCTTGAGTACTCGGCAACGGATGAAGGTGTCCGAATGAGACGCCTCCAGACTGACACCGGTCAGCGCTGCCTGTCACGCCTCTTATGTACGAGTCTCGTAAGCGGACCAAGGCTCGAATAGGTGACCGGAGGAACCGGTTCAGTTTGCTTGGTTTCTCGGTTGGTTTGGTCATGATTGCTTTTGGGTGGGGGGAGTAATGTGGCTGGATTTGAGCATTTGAATGGAGAAATTGATGTTGGATGAGATTTGGCAGAGTGAGGCCAAGGGGAAATTTGTGTATATAAACGGACATTTGAGTTTGGAAGATGCACACGTGTAATTTGAGAAAGATGATTGTATACTTTTTTGAGAGGAATATATGCTATATTATATTTGACCTAGTATTGTATACATTACGACAAAAAGTTAACAAATTAAATTTAATTAAAAGTTCTTTATGTTCTTATCAATAAGTGAGTATAAATAAAGGTTTATCAAACTGATTTGGTTTGATGAAGATTCATATATGTTTAAGTTAGATATGAATAATTATTTGGTTTTTGCACCCCAATTTTTAGTGAGATGCTAGAAAAGATAGGTATAGGAGGATAGTAACTTATAGGAGGATAATAACTATAGAGGTGTTTCTTATATGATTTCTCTACCAACAATTAAAAGCAAAGTTGTGGAAAAAGCATTAAGAGTCTTCAAGCTAGTGGGAAATTGATGCCATTTTCAAATATAAGTTCCATCCATTTGATGGCATGTGCTTGTTTTGTTTGTGTAATTGTCGTCTAGTCCTTGTAAGAAAGAACAAGGACGAGACACAAGACTACTCTTTGGAGTGCATCAACAGATGGTTGCAGGCTTGCAGAACAATCCCTAAATAATAGTTGTTTGTATTGAAGAAGTATGTTTCCAATTGTATTTCATCAATAGATAGAATTGCAATATATTACTACAAAATCAGATGATAAATTGATAATAGATTTTGTTTATAATCATAGTAGACTTAGTACTCACCTTTTCTCCCCTTTTTCTTTTTGGACATTGTAGGGTGTCAAGTTTTTTATTTTTAATATTTTGTAGCTTCGTAGGGTGTCAAAATCAATTGATGCAGGAGTGTTTTAGTCAACAAGCCCCGTGATGTTATATATTAAACAGCACTAAGCTAATCATTATGCGATTTTATTCTTTGGTGAGAATAGTGATTCCTCCTTAACCTAATAACATGAATGGATGCACTTTAGACAATTTAAGGTAAAAGTCTTAAAATCATAATCATCCCTGAAATAATGCACAAGTGTGATTTAGAAATGTGTTAAATTTAAAGAAAAAAGATGGGACGTTCTAAAGCCAAATCTCGAGCTCTTGAATAATTCTAATTTGGATTAAAAAATAAGACCATTTTAGATCCCCAAATTAGTGAAATTTTCCTTTCTAAGCAACATAATTCTGGATTGGAAAAAAGATGGGACATTCCAAAGACGAATAATTACAAAATTTTCCTTGCTAAGTAACATAATTTTCAAAGAGAGGAGATCGATCTATGTTCTAAACATCAATTCTTAATGGGGGGAAAAACATCCTCCTAATACCCCAAGGCGAATGTAATGGCATTCACAAAACGAGACATTAAGAAGAAGCCAACCAACTTCTACAATTAATGCTTCCCCAATTTCTTAACAAAAAGAAAAAAATTTCATAGTTCAGAATCCCAACTTTATCTATTGAATAAAATCCTCATTCTACTCTACCCAATCAAACAAATTTACATAAAAAACAGAACAAAAACCTACCTCCTCTATACACGAACCGAAAAAAAAAAAAAATATCCTCTCCTTCATCCCACACTTCGTCTCGGACCCAAACCCCGTACATCCAAACTCCTCCGTCTCGGAACCAACAGACTCGACCCAACCTTGACATCCTCCTCCTCAAATTCACAAGCCTCATCCTCATCAATTCTCCCAATCACAACACTCTGACTCCTCTTCACCCTCTTCTCCTTCTTTGCCAAACACTCATTCGCCATCATCGCGGCTCGAACAAGCTCCCCGAGATCATTTTCACCATCTCTCATCCTGTCCGAACTAAAACTATAGCTATGAGAAAATTCGGATAATGTAGGATTGTACGCAGCTCCCTCATAGCGAACGCTACCGGCACAACGGGTAATGCTTTTGATATAGAAATCCCTGAAGCTTCGAAGAGCTCGCATTGGCCATCCAATGCACTGCCTTGCTTTGTTCTTGGATTTCTTTTCTTTGTTCATGGCGATTCTAGTGGTTTGGGTTGATGGTGAAATTTTTTTTTACGGGTGAGCGGAGAGATTGGTTAGGCTTGAATTTTGGAGGTTGGTTAGATGCGTAGCCTAGGAATTGGAAAGGTTTTTTGGATATTGGTCCTTTAAAATTTTTGATATTATAAAATTATTCCCCTAAATCATGAAAGTTGTTATTCTGCCGTTAAAGGTATTTTAATTTTTTTAATAATAAAACAATAATATAATAATATTATTATTATAATATATTGTATAGTAAATATAATTTAATATATAAAATATTAATATATTATATGTTATATAATATAATATATTATAAAGTAAAATAATTTATTGCTAATAAATGTTAATATAAAAATAATATATTCATAATATAATAAAATTTATATAATAACAAATTATTTGTAGATTATTATCTACAAATAATATGTAATAATTATAATATAATATAACACATTCAAGTACAATATAATATTATAATGCATTATACAATATTATATTATATTATTTTTAATATTTATAATACTATAATAATGTAAACTAAATATTATAACATTTTATTTATAATATATTTTATTATAATTAATATATAATATATTAATAATATGTTTAATACTGATGTTGTAACGGGTCAACTAGTTTTAACCAAAAACACTCAACATGGTGTTTTGAAAATACTTTAAAGGGAAAACACAACACCATGATATTTTTTTATAAAAACACAATAAGAAAAATACAATAACATCCACACGAAACCTTACTTTTCAGTAATGAGTTTTCAATTAAGCCCGTTATTTAAAGTTACTACAAACCCAAATTCTATTCTTTAGACCTGTTTAGACAGCAGACTTGTGTTCCCACAATCGTTTACATTTGCCTAAACCTGTTTCTTTATAATTTTTGGGATTTTAGGAAGAAACAATTCATTGAGGTTAGACACTAATGGAGAGCAGGAATGTAATTTACAGACGTATGCTAACAATTGAGCCAATATGAGTAAGTACTTTTTTTTTGAGCTGAATATGAGTAAGTACTTTAGATGGAATATATTGTTAGATAGCATGTTCCTAATATGTATTCTAATTTGTTTTGGTAACAGGTTATTGGGATTCCTAATCTGTTTTGGTAACATGATTTCAAATCTGTTTTAGTAACAAGTTATTAGGATTCCTAATCTGTTTTGTTTTTTATTTTAGAATTCCTAGTATGTTTATGATTTTAGGATTTCTATATATATGGAACAATTGGAAGAGAGAATAGAGAAGAAAATTGGGGATATTTGGAGCACAAAAAAAATGTATTTTCTGAGCTATTGGTTAGAGTTTTGTTTGGAGAGAATTAGAGATTTGATGGTGAGATTAATTGGTGAGTTTGCATGATTTGTAATCTCAGTTTGTACTCTTCTTCTCTATTAGTAAAAAATTCTATCCCCTTCTTGCCCCGTGGACGTAGGCAACTTGCCAAACCACGTTAAAATTGGTTGTTTGTATTTGTGGCATTGATTTGGTTCGTTTGACCTTCTCTCGACGTTCGTTTGATTTGATTTCTCGTAGCATGTTGGTTTGGTTGTTTGGCTTCCGCAGCGCCTTCTCTCGACGTTCGTTTGATTTGATTTCTCGTAGCATGTTGGTTTGGTTGTTTGGCTTCCGCAGCGCACAACAAGTGGTATCAGAGCTCGGGCTATGCTTGAACTATTTGGAGGAGTATGTCGTTTTGGAGGCTCGCCTAGGGCTTCGTTTGGTGATAAATGTGGGATCTTTTTGGTAAAGACTCTATCTTTTTTAATTTTGGATCTATTCTTTATTTGTTCTGCATTTGTTTTGATACTTTAAGAAAGATGGTCGGAAAAGGAGTTATGGAGGGTACTTCCGGCGTGAAGACCGTCCAAAGTGTGAATATCCACTCTATGAAGATAGATGTAGAGAAGTTTAATGGCACAAACAATTTTAGTCTTTGGAGATGTGAAGTCTTGGATGCGCTCAATGCGTAAAATTTGGAAGATACTTTGGAGTTGGACGAGAAACTGAACGACATTAAGGAGAAGGTTTGAAAAAAGATGAATAGAACGGCGTGTGGTGTGATTAGATCTTGTTTGACTCAAGATTTAAAATATGTTGTGATCAATGAGACTTTGACTAAGAAGATTAATTTGGGAGATCCTAGAGGGCAATTATTTGACCAAGAGTGTAGAGAACCGCTTGCATTTGAAAATGAGGCTTTATCGCTTCCAATTGAAGAAGGGGACCTCCATTGGTGATCACATAAACCACTACACGAAGCTTCTTGCGGATTTGGTGAATATAGATGTGATGATTGAAGATGAGGACAAGGCATTAATGTTGTTGAGTTCCTTGCCTGACGAGGAATACAAGACATTCGTTCTTACTCTTATTAATAGGAATGCATCTCTTTCTTATAGTGAGGTCACCGCTGCACTTGTGAATTATTAGCTTCAAAAGAAAGATAAGGAGACTTCAGTTGAGCCGGTAGCAGGGGCATTGGTCGCAAGAGTAAAGAGTCCAAACCGTGATAGGAGGTCACAGTCTAGAGGGGCACATCTTGGAGTTCGTAGGAATCAGTGTGTCTTTTGTAAAGAGGATGGACATTAGAAAGCCGAATGCCCAAAGTTGGTTAATCGGTCCGAGAAGAATAAGGGGAATGCTATTCAAGCTTCAGAGGTGAATGTTGTCAAGGCTAGTGGCAATAATTCAGATTTGGATTCTTCGGGCTACTCATTATCTGTACTACCATCAGTTTGTATTACCGACTCTACAGAGTGGATGTTAGATTCGGATGCTTCTTACCATATTTGCCCTAGGAGTGATTGGTTCTCCAGCTTTCAGGAGTTGGAAAGAGGGGAGGTCGTGCTCATGGGTAATGATCATGAATATCGATTGGTTCTCCAGCTTTCAGGAGTTGGAAAGAGGGGAGGTCGTGCTCATGGGTAATGATCATGAATATCCTATTGGTGGTATCGGTACCGTTCGGACATGGGTAATGATCATGAATATCCTATTGGTGGTATCGGTACCGTTCGGATTAGGATGAGTGACGGAGTTATTCGGGAGTTGGTTGGAGTGAGGTTTGTTTATCAGTTGAAGAAGAACATCATTTCACTTGGAGTTTTGGAGGCAGCAGGCTATAGGGTGACCTTGGTCGATTCACGTTTAAAGGTCACATTAGGGTCCATGATTATGATGAAGGGCGTCAGGATGAATAATTTGTATTATTTGATTGGGAGCATGGTGTTTGATAGAGAGCTGACGACTTCTTTGGATTTGGCTAGACTGTGGTATTTGTTAAGACTGAGTTATTTGATTGGTTATGCCGTGCATGGTTTGTTTAGGAGTACTTTAACCTACAGATTGAAATCCTTTGAGCACATTGGTATGAGCAAGAAGACCGAGATGGAGTTTGGCACTTCTATCCATCGATCGATGGGTCTTTTAGGTGGTGTTCAGTCAGGCATTTGGGGGCCTTCTAAGGAGGCATCATTGGGAGGTAATTGATATCTGGTTTTCGTGGTTGGGGATTGTTCTAGGCATTGGTAGGTTACAACCAGGTCCCGTTGGTGTAAAGTCCTAGAAGTCAACAATAATTAGAAGAAGTGTATTGACAGAAAGTTAATCCGTCGTTCTAGCTTTGGTAGAGGTTTTTTCTTGCATTTGTATCGAGCTCATGGTAGTTTGAGGTACTTCATTGATGTGGAGACATTGGGGTGACGAGATGAGATGACCGTTTTGATGAGTCGTTCCTTACTGGAGGGGGATCAGTGTTGGTTGTCGAGCATTGGTTTTGATTTTGGAGCTTCGACATATTTGGGTCATCTTGGTCATAGGTTGCCGACTGCTACGTGTGAAGATTTTGGATCTGGTGAAACTGCTTCAAATTTTGGGTTGCGTCGGATATTTGGTTGCCCAGCATTTGGTCAAATCGAGGATGTGAGATTTGATCCAATTGCACGTTTAGGATTCAGATGTTCGTTTGATTATCAGTTAGGAGCTTCTGATTTTGTTCTGAATAGGTATGTCATATTTGACTCTCGGCAGGTGGAGAGTGTTGATCAGATCATTGGAATATCACAGTGGGTGGAGGGTGATGCTACTTCACATTGGGTGGAGATTACTCCACATACTCCAGATCATACTGTATCATTTGAGATTCTAGCTGAGGTGACACGGTTTGGAGATCATTTGGATTTGGATGTAGATGATGAGTTGGTTTTGGATTGGAGTGCAGTTGGTGGATATATTTTGGATACAGCCATTGGTTCACCTCATGTGGAGGTGTTTGATTTGTTTCAGTTTAGGGCCATTGGGAACGCTATCAGTTGCAGATCCGTTGATAATATTGGTGAAGAGTTACAAACTTTTCTATTTGATTGAGGGCCTTTGGAGGCCGTTAGGGTGAACTACGTGAATGCTTGATTCTTTGGGCAAGAGGATACATAGACAGTCATTTATGATACAGCTGGTTTGGTGAGTTGATACCGATATTTAGAGTTTGTTCGCATTCTCATTTGGGTTCTCGACTTGTTGTGGATTGAGTCCGTTGTCATGGATTTGTTCCACTTCGTACTGGACGCAACAAGTGAGACGTTTGGTTAGTATTGGTGTCGGTTCTGTTTTGGGAAAACTTCGCCGAGGTGGAGAATTGTTGGATAGCATGTTCCTAATATGTTTCCTAATTTGTTTTGATAACAGGTTATTGGGATTCCTAATCTGTTTTGGTAACATGATTCCAAATCTGTTTTAGTAACAGGTTATTAGGATTCCTAATATGTTTTGTTTTTTTGTTTTAGAATTCCTAGTATGTTTATGATTTTAGGATTTCTATATGTATGGAACAATTGGAAGAGGTTTTAGAATTCCTAGTATGTTTATGATTTTAGGATTTCTATATGTATGGAACAATTGGAAGAGAGAATTGAGAAGAAAATTAGGGATATTTGATGATTTTAGGATTTCTATATGTATGGAACAATTGGAAGAGAGAATTGAGAAGAAAATTAGGGATATTTGAAGCACAGA